TTATCTCCAATCTTTAACGCCAAAATATGCACATAATACTCGAAAAATCTAGCATTTTCTGCAAAAAAATGTTTCTATTAGCCTTATCAAATGTTTCAAAATGATTCATTTTTTAAAAATTTTCTGATTTGTCCCCCAAATCGTAATTTAGACCCATTGACGCGGTAATTTTATGTGGGACACCCTGTATTTAAATATTATAAGTTCTGTATTTGTATTTTGTACTTTTATCTGAATCCTTAAAAAGAGAGAAAACAATTTAATGGCCATTCTATAATTATTTCTCCTGAACCCCCCCCCCCTCTCACCTTCAATGAATTTAAGATAAGACAAATAGTTGGGATAGCAGTTAGAAATGAATAGATATAAAATACACAGGACCTCTTTAAAGGGACTGTAACCCTCCATTTGTATTGTATCTACTATTTGTATTTTTACTAGGCTTCCTCTATTTTAACTTTTAAAATCTGTGAGCTTCTTCTCTTTGTACAGTAGAAAACAATAACATAAAAAGTTCGCGGATTTTCAAATATCTTTTAAATCTCACAAAAATTAAAAGCTTTTGGATACAACTTTCTGTAATTCTGAGCATCCATAAACCATCCCTAGGGTCATGCAATGTCCCACAAAAATTTTGGCCCGATCAGGTCAGCCGTCTATGATACAAACAGACAAACAAAAACAGACAAGCAAGTATACATATATATATTGAAGATTGATTTATGAAGGTAACAACAATATCTTCCTCATTGTTACTCAAACAAAGGTTTAAAGGGAACCATTCCAAATCGGCCATGCCAATTTAATTTACAATGAAGGGTCACTTGAAATTAGGTTTGCAGTCCCTTAATACAATGTTTTTCTCCCTTCTTGAACTGTGTGATTACATGTTTAGACCTTTTTGAAGATTGATCTTGGGACACTTTTTATCCCATCATTAGTCGGTTTTTTACCCCGGGTCAACGGGGATACAATCTAATGTTTTTATAACAAAAACTTATCAAGGGTTTGCTAATGAACAAATTAAGGATTATTTGATGGTGTAGGAGTGTACCTACTCTATACGGGATGTCCCAGGAGAAAAGGTTAGTGTGTCCCATATGGTATTGGATCGTGTTGAAGCTTTAAATCGCGATTTTCGGGACTAATCAGAAAATCTAAAAAGAACGAATCATTCAAAAAATTGTATATTGCTAATATAAAGGTTTGCATGCAGAATATACTAGGCTTTTCAAGTATTATTTGCGTATTTTGGCGCTAACGCTTGGAGATAATCAAATATGATATGGACACCCTATATATACGAACGAAACTTTATAAAAGATGTTGGAATTGAGAGTCGAGACGATCCTTGGAAGATTATATTTGATATTGGAACAAAATATTTGTGGCATTTATTCATCATTTATCAACTTATATTTGATTCTTGTAAAAATAATCCATTAGACTGTGGCCTGTCTTTTGTACTTTCAAACTACTGCATTACTAAAGAATTTTGTTTAGAAATAAAGGATTGAAAAAGACGAAAATTGTCAAAATCTGTCATGTTTTGTGGGACACCCTGTATTCATGCAGCGTGTTTTTAGACTATTAAATAGTATAAAGATTTTAACATTTTTTTCCTTTTTAAAGTTCATCCGAAGAAAAGTTGTATTTGAAAGCATGCAAGATTTCAAACTAACATGAAATTAAAATTTATAGTTTAAAACACACTTAATTTAGCTATAGAGCTCTTAATATGCATTATATATAAAAAAGTTTGCTTTTTTCACCCTTGGAAATTTAAAGTCAACAAAAAGAGTCAGGGTCTAGTGGGTCGCAAAGTGGTACCAACAATTTGATATAAAATTGACATCTTCATGAAGTGATTGAACCTTATTATATTTTATATTGAATTTAAAAAATTTCAAGCGTTGAACTCATTTATAATAAAAGAATGACAAAATCAAAAAGGAGAAATGACTCGGGGTAATTAAGAAGAAATCTCAAATATGTTAATTGTCAATATATTTATAATTTGGAAAAGTAAATAATTAGTTGTACCAATACTTTTCGTTCAATATAAAACTAGCGTGCATGGTGTTCAACAAAAACACGAAAATTAAGAGACAAACATAGACATCGTCTTAAATCTTTAAAATTATTAGCGACATCCACGTGTCAATGATAATCCATTAATAAATTGATATTTTAACGAAATGCTTATTATTGCAGTAATTCTGAAAGCACAAAAAAGACAAACCACATATTAGAAATTGCAGTTCAGGCCCCAGGGGAATTTGTAATTATTGTTTTAAAGACACTGATTATTTCAAAGATCACAGTCGCCTCTCAGCTTTCATATTTTGTGGAACACCGTGTACAGTTCGTACAGTGCAAGTTTAAGAAACAAAATAGAAGAAAATAAAACTAATAATCCAGGAAAAATTGGTTTGTATTATTGCCAAATGAAAAATGGCTAAGTTTAAAATTAGAGAGTAAAGTGTACAATAGAATTTAAACCAGCTGATTAGATGGGGAGATAAGATCTTAGCATTGTTATCATGCATTCCTTGATAACAATTTCCGCTCCAAGAGCAAGCACTACTTTCAGAGCTTTAAATCTGAGGAAAAATCTTGAGCAGTAAAAGTATAATCTCTCTATTTCCATGACAAAACTAGGATACAATATGAATACAAAATTATAGTCTTACGAGTATTAATTAATAAGAGAATTTCTATTTAAATCAAAGAAAAATTTCATGGTGACGTTTTATGCGTTTAGGAATTCTCCTCTGTTGTTATAAGAACCCAAATTCGAGGAGTTGTTTTCTTTGAATGCTTAACCGAAATTACCAAAATGTCACTTTTTACGCGGTTAAACAAATTTTTAAAATTTGGCATGGTAATTTGATGGTATTTAACTTTTCATACAACTTTTTTCTTTTAAAATTCAAGATTCAACCGTTCAGTAAAGCGGGGTAAACGGGAAGGGGGTATACGAATTAGCTTTACTTTGTCAAAATACAAGTTTTTTATTCTTTATATTCAAAGCTACTGTGTTACTTACAGGATATAATGTATGTTGTACATGTACAATTGTACATTGTTCATGGGTGGAACAAAATTTTCATGGGTCCCTGAACGAGGTAAAAAGTCCAGAAATATTATTTAACCGTTAGCATTTTGCAAATTGAATCTCAGCGGGACTTTAACGTTGCCAACATCCAATTATTAATTAATAAACAATTTTAGGAGTTCTCAACATTTTTAACAAGTTTAGGATTTTCATCAATCTTCCTAAACCTGTTTGTATCACCTAACTTTTAACATCATCTTTCATTGATGATGTGGGTGGGTGGGATGGGAAGGGGGGTTATAGTATAGGTATTACCATGAGATAGATTATTTTTAATCAAAATGCAATAATAAGGTTTGTGTCGTGCATCAGTTTATCCCCCCCCCCCAAGTTTGTTAACCATTTCAACACTTAATTATAGACATCAAAAGTAATGTTTTAACACTTGCCGATGTTTATTTCTGTATTTTGCTTAAAGGACTTAAAGAAGCACATCTGAAATAAATTATGTCTCGAATAACTATTATTTGAAATCTTGAACAAGACGACATTCGAGAGGAAAAAACTTTTTTAGTTCATTACTTTTTAAGTCAAACAAGTGTTAAGATGGTGAAAACTATACTGGAATAGATAAACCCATGGACGATTCTGGGACAGATTGCCCAGCTCTTTAATTAATTTTTTGTCAAAAAAAATATTTTGGACAGACAATAATTTAAATTTTATGAAGTGGACTTTCAATGAATTTACTATAAACACCTTACACTGCACTAGATTCTCCCGACTATGTTTAACAGAGAGTAATTAGCTTAGTAAAAACATGATTAATTGATTGATGGGTGGGGTTTACAACACGGAACATTAACAACCAAGCAAAGTCAAGTCGCTCATTGTAACATGTAAGAAAAAGGGCCCGGCGTTGCCCGTGGAAAAAAGGAACGAAAAAAAATCGATTTTTTTAGCTTTGAACAAAAAAATTTAGATTTGTTTTAGCCTATAACATTCTTGATCACCCATGAGTGTCCACAAACAATTTCAGCCCAATCGGTCCAGCCGTTTAGCCGGCTATGCACAACATATATATGAATGTCTTCACCTAACCTAACCCCAAGATATATTACAATTTTAGGTCGGAAACCCATAGGTCAGTTTCTTCTAGATCGTATGAGCAGGTTCCCTTGGATCACTATCATGGTGCTTTAACAAATTTTAATTTTGTACTGAGATTACTTAAATTCCAAATTAGTTTAAGTCCTAATTACTTCTCTCTCCTTCACAAATTTCCATCTCTGTTGAACAAATTTTAACAATTACTCTTTTTGTTTAAAATATCTTTAGTCTAATGCAAGTGATGGTACATGAAGGGTTGAGTGGGCGGGGTTGTATTGTAGAGGTTAGGGATCAACTTCTACAAGAAACAAATCATAAAGTCTTATTCTAATGATAAACAAGTAACACAAATAATGTGATCCAAAAATCGCAAAAATGCGAGTAAGCATAAAATATTTAAGCCCGATCGGTTCAACCGTTTTTGAATACAGACAGAAAAACGAACAGACTGACGAGCCAAATTTATAAAGAAACGTAGATATTTGTCAATAAATCATGTTAATGCTGTCAAACTACTGCATTTACTTACATTTCTTGTGAATCAACAAGATATTAATTAAAATCTTGAAAACTGCAAAATAAGTTGATCATTGGAAGAAAACTTTTAATTCGTTGAATTAGTTTATTGAACCACAGGCCGAATTTAAAGAATTTGAGCCGCGGCTTAAATTTATTATAAAAATAATACATTCCGAAAAATGCATTGGCGCAGAATGGTTAAAACCGGTTTTTGGCGGATTTGAGACGCGGCTAAAATTCATTAAATTCGGACTCAGGACATAAAAAAGATTAGGGTAAAAAGGGTACACTTCTCAGTGAAAAATTCTGAAAATTTCTTAAGTAAAGTTTATTGAATCGAAAGTAAAATATCTCATAAAATATAAATAATATATCAACAATATAAAATTGATTTCATATCGGAGCCATACTAAAGCTTAGATCTGGGCGACTTGTTAGATCTGAACAGGCGTCTCCTAAGCAAAAAATAATCTTTGTTTATGATTCTTGATTAGTAAATAGCTACGTAAAATGACCAAGATGCGATTGAAATATTGGATAATATTATTTTAATTCTTAAAAAATGGAATATCGGACTAAACCTCAATCTTTACATTTAAAAATTCTTGGTTAAAAACTTGAAATTTAACTGGGGAAAAGAAACTGGTCCTGGTTTGGAATATTCTCTTTGTACCTACTGTTCCATTGTCTGAGGCTGTTCGATTATACGAGGCTGGACCTCAAGTGTGTCATCCTCACTACTAGAGTAAGTAGAATCCATGTCTTCCAGATCTTGACAATCAGAATATCTAGGTAAAATTATTAAGTTACAATCTGATATTTTCAACACGACTAACTTTAACATCAGGAGTTAAGCTAGTATCCACCAAGAGGCGGCTACGGGGGGGGGGTGTAAGAAAGGGTTGTCCCCGCCCCTGGAAAAATTAGGGGCGCAAGAAGTCCGAGAAGAGAGAGCAGGCATCTTTTACTTTAATTTTGCCGGCAGATCGCCACTTTTTGACTGACAATGAAGAGTTCTTATTAAAATCCAAATATAAACTAAACCCGACATCATGTTTACAGTAAACAAATCAGACCCAGAAAAAAAGGATATTCCTAGGCTAGAGTAGAAGAGTGTCTGCAGCAATTCTGGCAGTCAACTTGTGCAACAATCAACATGGATTTAGCAAATAATGCTTAACTTTTTAAAGAAAAACTTTCACATAAAAACTTCTTGTATGCGGCAACGAAAAAAAATGGAAAAAAATCTAATGTATTAATAATCTATATAATAAAACAAAACATTCATATATGTCACCAATAGCCGGCCAAACGAATGGCCCGATTGGGCTGTGGACACTCATGGGTGGCCGGGGGTTGATATAGGCTAAAAAAATTAGGATCCCCCCCCCCAAAATTTGGTTGTCAAACATTTTTTTGAGCGATGCGACAAAATAAATCTGTCAAAAATAAAACTAAATGAAAATATGACATATATAAATTAAGGATTTACCTAAGAGTTCAAAACGAAGAGGAAAGCTAATTACCTAATTCCTTCTGGGAATTTCCTTTGTACTCTAATATCTGCCTTTCTATAAAAAATCAAACCAATTAACTAATTAGAAAATACAGAAGCTGAAATGTTTTTGTCAGGCAAAACATTCAAAATTGAGTGGGTTGACTTTTCAAGAGAAAACTCCAGGCACAGCTGGAGTTAACTCCAACACAGCTAGAGTTAACTCCAGGCACAGCTGGAGTTAACTCCAGGCACAGCTAGAGTTAACTCCAGGCACAGCTGGAGTTTCAAGATAATGTCGTCGAACCAGTTCAATGGCGATAGTATTTTTCTCATTTGGTTTGGCAACTTAAAACATCTTTTTACCTAGAATTCTGATCTTCGGACTGAATATGCTCGTGGCGAGAACTAAAACGTAAATAAGTAAATTATTGCACTTTAAATTCTAAGAGAAAACACTTTACACCTTGTTTTCTAACAAACCAAAATGCGCAAAGATTGAGCAACTACGATCCTAATATTAACAACACTTCAGGAAGAATATTTCATAAATATAAAAATATCATTGGAGTGGTGCCCTTGCCCTCCCCCCTTTAATTTTTGAAACACATTTTTGTGAGTAAAAGTGATATTTTTTTTGAAAATTTAGAGAAATGAGCCATGCAATGTAAAAAACCTAAAAAATGTTACAAGTTTGATAGCAAAAAGCTTACTCTCTAACAGAGGGTGATCGCTTGACATGTGCAAACTTGTAGTAGGGTAGAGGATCTGCTATATCAGAAATACACTAAATAAAAATATTTAGAAATAGGAAGACGACATTTATCTTTCTTCCTTGCAGATTCCTCTTGTGCTATTTTCTTTTATTTACAATCTATCTGTTAAAAATAAACATGACGTTGGTTTGTGTACCACTGGCGAATTACGCCGCAAAAATCGCAAAATATTAGAGAAAAACCTTTGTCAAACTGTTTAATGCAGATAGAAAAACTTACTCTAGAAGGACTAATGTTGTTCCGCTTATCAACGAATACTAGGCCATCAGTATTAGATCTAAATACAAGCAATGTTAAGACCAAGGTTATAATGCAAGGAAATTTATTTCATAAGTGTACGCATCTTTTGTACTGCAGTGTACTGTCTCTGGGCGGTAATGTAAACACAAGACGGATGTCGAACCCTGACATGGGATCCATCTTTCACATAAAAAATCAATGAAATATTCTGGTCATAGGAAACTATTATGTGAATTATCAAAATCATTAAAATTTGATGCTTTTAACCTCCTCGGATAGTACTAAACGAACATCACTGATGCATCTATTCTTGTTTACAAATTCCGCCCAGAGAGAACCGGTTTCAATATGTACGCAGAGTATCACAACTACAATTAACTTTCCTTGCATTATAACCTTGGTTAAGACGTAATTTTTAGTAATCCTACATTTACAGACTGACATATACCTTCACAACAGTACACTTGAAAGCTAGTTCTGATCAAAAAAGTTTTGAGTTATCCAATGGTTTTTATTTGAAAATTGATTATTAGGTAATTAGGGTTGTGAATCGGAAATGACCGTCTCTTATTGGAGGGTCACTTACGCTAAAACATAAATAATGGAAATTCAATTTGTTTTACCTAGGTCTGAAATCAAGATCCCGAGCCAGAGAATCATTTCTTAAAATAAATTTTTTTTTTTTAAAGAAGACGACATTTCTTGACATCGTTTTCGTTTACCTGGAATCTGGAGAGTTTTGAGGAGGAGTATACCCACGAAGGTTTCTGATTAAATAAAAATAGCTATGCAATTATGTTAAATCCAATTAACTAAATTAATCAACTTTTTCCGCCAAATCTATCAGGTTTACAATATTATGAACAGCAAAATGTTCGATAAGTGAAACATGAATTTTTCGCCACATCAAAAATGGTTTACGAAAAAAATTAACAATTACTTTAAAACATTAAACCTGTAGTTTGGTGTTTCTAACTGCGACCAATCACTCTGGTCAGACCTAAACAAAAGGGAAAGTAAAAAAAAATCTGAATTTAGAGAAAAAAAGAATTTAAGGCATAAAAAAAATATCAAGGTCTACTCGAAATACTTGAGTGCTGTAATATCTTTATATAAATCTATAAATTAGTCAATTTTACCGCCTTTTGACAAACATTACCGACCTAAAATTTCCCCAACAGAGGGACGTTAAGGAGTCCCTTGGGACAATTGAGTAAAATAATCACCTGCTCTGCAAAGTTTTCATAAAAAACAAATGTTATCATTATGATGCCCTGAATATAAGTTCTTTAGTAATTTCTATATATTTTCCATTTTAGAAATCTATAAATAAATTATTGCGTCTTGTATTTTTTCTAAATTGTTTGTTTTGAATTTGAAAAAAAAACATTAAGAATTTCTAATGTTATGATAACAAAAATATCTTTTTTCCATACTTTCTTTGATTCAGTGAGATGAAACCCGGCAGAAATGTATAGTGGTTAAATAGCTTCATACTTTTTTCAAAATTGCTTCCGTACCAAATCATGTGATGATACACACCTCTTTTAGAAGTGAATCAAATTCGCTAATTCGCTTAAAACAACAGCATGAGATACAAAAAAACGGTATTCTATGTTAACAAAATTCAATTGTTTGTCCTTCATTTTCTCAATTTTGAAAAAATGAATTTAGATATTCAGCAGGCACAGAACAAATCTAGGTTGTATTATAAGGTTGCTTACTCTCGATGCGCTACAATGTACAGAAAATGATGTCGCATATGAGTATGACGTCACTCTCAGCTCTATAATCAGTGATGTAATACGAGGATTTTATCTATCTATGTTTAAATGACGACATTTCCCGTACATTGGAGCGCATCTTATTATACAAACTTGGAAAAAAACAGAGACCTTTTTATAAAATTAATAAAATATCCTACTCTAGAGAATTGATGGTTTCTGGAGAAGTAAAACTAAGATCTTGTCTCTGAACGGAGATTTGTCGAACCCGTTCAAGGGCATTCTCCGTCAAAACCAGTTTTCGCAGAGATCCACTACGTGCTCTTAAAAAAATGGGATTAATCAGCAATTTTAATGAGGTAATGCTTAGTCGATGTCTACCACTGAGATGTATCAGACAATCTTATGCAGACTTGGCGGATTAATTAAATTCCTCTTCGATATCCCATGGTTGTCATAACCTGCAGGGATAACTTTAATTGGAGGATCAAGCATTTATCCTTTATATACTTAAATCAAGGGTGAAAGATTAATAATACTCTGCAAACAAAAGTTCCTTAGAGCTTAAAGATTTGTCTCAGAAAGATCTTACATTACAGCTAGATCACAGTGCGCTCAACAACATCAAGACTTTTCAAATACCACGGAGTAAAAATTGGTGAAGTTTGTAAGTTTAAGTTATATCATTGATAAATGTGATTATCTCAACTTTTTTTCATCGAGATATTTTTGAGAAAAATCATGTTTAATGGATGTACTTGTATTAATTCCAATTGGTTGAGATTTTGGATTGGATATAAAAAATGAAAGCATGAAAACACATTTCGGAGCAAAATTAAATATTCTTTAATAATGTAGTACGGCTTATAAAATGTTTTATTTGGCCTTAAGAACATGGCTTAAAAAGAAAAAAAAAAGACATTTAAGACTAAGACTTAAAACACTTTTCTCAATGGTTTCACTTAATTTTTAAATGAGATTAATATTTATCATACTTATATGAATTATGACTATACACAGAAAGTAAACAAATCCCCTATGTATTTTTCTTTAAATGGAAAGTTTTGCAGATTTTATATATTTTGTAATGAATATGTTTATGTAAATGTAATGAATAATTATAATAATAATTGTAAGGGTAAATTGTATAAGGTATAGATTTAAACGTATTGAAAATAGCTTCAGAAAAACGACTATAAGTTCACAAATGGCAAGATCTTAATATAGATTTTGTGACCGTTTCATTCAGAATTGATTCAGTAGAAAACACTTCTTATCAAAATGTCAATACCTCGAGATAAGTAGATGCTTTAAATGCCACCGACCTTACTGCTAACTAGTTAAAGGAACTGTAGTCGTAAATTAAGTGAATCTCCATGGCCAATTCAAATAGGGGATAAACGATTAGAATTGAATACATGAAGCTAGAAAAAACGACGATATCTTCTAGAATATTTATCAAATTAATAATAGGGAACCGTTTTTTTTAATTGGTAGATTTCTTGAAAATACAAGTACAGTCCCTTTAATTATACCAATTTTACCTATTAGACTGATAAGTGAAGGTTTCGGAGAGGTTTGTTGGAGAGAGTAAACCTGGATCTCTACGAGTATATTGATTATAGTCATGAAGGTATCACAATAAATAGATGTTTAACTTCATAGGAAACCATTCATTGATCTACTCTAACTACCAGGATTCTTCAAGGGAGCTCCAACAAACATAGAAATTGACAAGCTTCAAAAATCATCTATTGACTTAAAAGTCTACAAACATTTGTCTCAAATAAATCTTTCTTTGCAAGGTTTTCAGCCCGATCTTCACCTTTTTAGACATTCTTTAAAGGAAAATTTGTCATGGTGGATTTGGAAATCAATATTCTCAATCGTAATCTATCGAATGTCGTGAGTTATACTGTTCATATAAAATGTTTTTGCATATATCAAGTTTATCAAAAGAAGTTGGATCAAAAAATTGACCTTTTTTCAAAATTCCCTTGAACTTAAATAATTTGAGACTAAATATTAGGAGAAATATGAGCTATACAAAATTATTATTAAATTAGATTTATTATTAAATTATCAAGAAATCCTGAATCAGCTTGCAGCTAATAGTTAAGGATACATATTTCTACCCGAAGTAGGGAGGGGGTGTTTTAATAGTTTATTCATTGTTCATTACTTACGTTTGAGAGTTCTTTACGTTTGAACAGAACCCGGGTCCGAAAATACCAAGAAGAACGGGTAGGAGCAGAAGACCATGAAGCATGCCAAGGATAATAATCATGAAAATCATCCGAGAAAATCAAATCAAATCAAATCAAATTATATATTTAGCCATAAATTATACATGTTAAAATGGATATTTATAATTAACATTAGTTGAGATTACAGTTTATGGCAGGGAGACGGAACTAGCCGAAACTGTTTTCAGTCGGTCTCCCGAACAATCAGTCTTTAATCAAAAAATTTAACTTGAAAAGTTTTACAAAAATTAGATTTAGAAAAGTTGGAGTTCCTGGCAGAGAAAGGTGAGGGTTCCTTGAAGAAGTCTGGTGGCTAAAAATTAGCATTTGAAATAAAAGATATGATTCCTGGCTGAAAAGATCCACAGGCTGTCAAGCGAGAAACAAAGCTATAATTGAGAATTAATTAAGTATTTGAGCAACTGAAACAATAAAGTTTATCACATCTGAAGTCTAAATATTTATCAAGCAAGAATTTTTTGACACTTAATTTAAACCCAATCTTGCTCTCAATTTGTTTAATATTAGGATCAAAATTATTCCATAACAAAGGAAAGCTGAAAAAAGGAAACTTTTTTAAAAAATCATTTCGGACCCTTGGTAGAAAAAAATCATCACCATTTCTTAGAGGATAAGGGTGATCCGTTAATGCTGAATTTTTTATAAAAAACCCATCGTAGTTAACAGTAGAATATTTCTGATCTATAGAATGCATAATTAATAATTGCTGTTGAATTATTAGGTCAGGAAGAGGCAGAATATCTAATGATGAAAATAAAGGTTGAGAGTGGGAATTATATGAGGCTTTAGAAATTATGCGTACGCATTTTTTCTGAAGCAAGTATTGTGAGTTAATGTTTGATTTACTAGAGCAGCTATAAATAGGCAGGCAATACAGAATATGAGGATGGATGAGCGCGAAGTATAATGACTTTAAGGCTTTAACAGTAAGAATATTCTTTGCTCTATTTAAGTAAAAAATAGATTTAGAAACCTTGTTACGAGTTTGTTTGATGTGATAATCAAAACTTAGATTCTCATCAAAATAATTGTCGAGCATTTTAAAAGCTGGTACTTTGGACATCTTTGAAATACGTTCAATAGGAAAAATTCTGGTTAAATCAGGACTTGAGTTGATGTCATTATTATTAAAATGAAATTGAAAATCAGGAATGGAGGTTTGCTTTGGATGAAAAACCATAACTTTAGTTTTAGAAGTATTGACACAAATCTTGTTGGCTCTTAACCACATACCTAGTTTTTGAAGTTCAGTGTTAACAAAATTTTTTTAGAATTGGTTGAAATGTAGATTTACCGGGTTGAAATCCAAACTGCATTCTGTATAAGAGTTTATTATTTGCTAAGAAACTGTAAAGACGTTTAAAGACAATCTTTTCAATAATCTTTGACAAGACGGGGAGGCATGATATAGGCCTATAGTTAGTTAATTCCTCGGGATTTCCAGATTTAAAAACCGGACAAGTTCTTGATACTTTAAAACTCTCAGGGACCTGACCAAGATCGAAAGATAAGTTGAAAATGAATGAGAGAGGTGCAGCAATTTCAGTTATTACGCTTTTTAAAAGTTTCGAGTTCAAACCATCAATATCAAGACTTGATTTACTTTTTAATGACTTGACAATTTCAATAATTTCAGAGGGGTCAACCTGTCCAAGCTCAAAATTTAATCCAGAATCAGTAAGATAATCTTCAGGTTTAGCGGTCGATTCAGGAATATCCTTTAAAATATTCTCAGCAATTTCTGAGAAAAAAGAGTTAAATTCATTAGCCATGTTTTGAGCATCATCGATTGATTTACCATTTACAGAGACCTTATCAATACTGGATTTAGACGAGGATCTATTTAAAATCTCATTTAAAGTTGCCCATAGCTTTTTGGGATCATTTTTGTTTGACTCAAGCTTACTTTCAAAATACATTTTCTTCGCAGATTTCAACACTTTATTGTAAAGGTTTCTATAATTTTTGTATTTAGACTCATCTTCATGATTTCTAGAAATTAGAAATCTATGATAAAGTTCAAGCTTCATTTTCCTGGATACAAGTAATCCACTGCTCATGAAATCATTTAACTTGTGATAATTTTTATTCAGCGCAACATATTTGACAGGAAAATGAAGATTAAAGAGCGTAGACCAATCATCCCAGAAGTTTAAAAAAGCAATGTCAGTATCAGAGCATGAGTAAACATTCTCCCAGGGTAGATTAGATAAATCACTCTTAAAAGATTCAATCGCAGCATCGGAAAAATTTCTAAAAGCCTTTTTTAAAGGTGCATTTTTTTTTAATTTCTTGAAATCAAGACAAGTAAATGTGAGAAGATGATCTGATAAATCATTAACGATAACACCTGACTTATAGCTAGAACATTTTTTGTTGGTAATAATATGATCAATAAGAGTAGATGAATAAGATGCGAGTCTAGTAGCTTTAGTAATTAGGTTGATAAATCCATAGGATAAGAGCAGCTCGATATATTCAAGGCTTAAATTAGAGTTGGCAATTGAGAGAAGGTCTATGTTAGAATCCGTCATAATATAACAATCTTTCTCTGATAAAGAACTTAAAAGGCCTGAGAAAGATTCAAGGAAGGATTTAGATAGCTCAGTATTAGATAAAAAAGGATGGTTCCCAGGTGGTCTATACAGAGATACAAATATTAATTTGCCAGTAGGAAAATCAACTTCAATACTCAGGGATTCAATAATACGCTCATGAAATGGAGAGAAATCAAGTAATACTTTAAACTTCAGGTTATTACGAATGTAAAACCCGACACCACCCCCCTTGCAGGTGGTTCTAGATTTAAATACAAGAGGATGGTAACCAGGAATATTTACCAGAGAAACATCATTAATGTAGGAAATTTCCTGCAGAGAGATTATATCAAAAATTATCCCCTTTTCAGAAAGAATAGAAAGCAAGCTTGTAAACTTTTCGAATTTACTCAATAAGTATTGGATATTTAAATTCAAAACAAGTGGTGATTTAAAGTTTTTAAAACAGTCACTAAAGGAAGATTCATTGTAATAATTGCTTGACAATTTATTCGACAGTAAAGGATTTTCAATAAAATTAAAATTATCAACACTATTTTCTAAAAAGAGAGAATAATTATATGTGAAATCAAGCTTTTTATCCTCGTTTAACAGCCCGTTAGATGCAATCAGTTCAGGAACCATGGCTAGCATATAATCTGTGAAGCCGAACCAGACCTCTCTCATGAACCCCAAATCCCTTAACAGCCAGAAACCCAAACAAATCTGAAATCATAAAAAGTTAGTTTAGAAAGGTGACTGCACAGGATACAACCAAAAATAAAAACAAATACATTAATTCTCTTTAAAGGATTATAAAAGAGAAAAATATTTCAGAGATAGATAGAATCAGTAAAACACATACCGGAACAGGAGCTATAAATAGCTCATTAGGGAAACCTGACTCCTGACTGAACAGGAAACACATAACTCAGAACCATGAGCTGGAACAAAGAAACTAACACCCAAGACATCGCAGCACTGGAACACCGGAGGACTGGAGCACTGGAACACTGGAGCACTGGAACACTGGAGCACTGTAACACCGGAGCACTGGAACACCGGAGCAATGGAACACTGGAACAAGGATAACTCATCGGAAACAAAGCTGGATGAGATGAAACTAGGGCTGGATGAGGTAGACAAAGGCTGGATGAATCGGGACAGGGGCTGGATGGATTAGCACAGGGGCTGGATGAATCGGAACAGTGGCTGGATGAATCGGAACAGGGGCTGGATGAATCTGAACAGGGGCTGGATGAATTGGAACAGTAAAGGTTAAGCTTGCTTCTTAACTCCTTTCTTGTCGAGGTAGAAGATATTTCCACCTAGACTCCATGCTTGAATATTATCCTTTCTCAGACCTTGAAGCTTCTTGTAATTTAGAGAGGTGAGATCTTCCACTATGGAGATATGTTCAAGCTTGTTCTGAGGATCAGAGAGAACAGTTTTCTTATGAGTAAAAACTAGATCACGAATCATTCTAACCTGAAATCGACAGATAACAGGAGTGGAATCTTTGGATTTAGAGGTCTTCAGAATATGGCATTGCTCAATAAGTCGATGCAGGGGGGGGGATGGAGGGCAAGGTACCACTCTCGACGGCTTTCATCAGGATGGGAGTGAGTACGGATTCATATACAACCTTAGCAGTAGAGTTGGAATGGCGGGAGGTTTCCTGGTCAAGCTTGAGACCAAAAATCCTTAGACTAAAGTTTCTGGAATGCTGTTCAAGGTGGTTTAACTTCATTTCGATGGACGATAATTTATCTTCATGAATCGCAAGTTTCGAGGTATTAGATTCAACCGACTGCTTCAGTGCGTCAAACTTTTCACGAAGATCTTCAGTATCAGATTTAATACTACTGCAAAGTTTCAGGATTTCATCTTCTTTTTTGGTCATTTTAAAGTTGCAAGTAGTAGCAAAGAAATAAACCAAACAGCTGCTGACTGGTATGTATAATTAGCCGGGTTGAAGAGAATCCTATCAGCTGATAAGTATAGAAGTTTGTTTGACAGGTTGGAGTGTGTGTCAGAGAATTCTACGCGTGTGTAAGCTCTGGCGAATTTCTATTGGCTAAGAGAAATTAGAAAGGAGCTATGATTGGTTGAAACCCCGGCAGAAGGAACACGGTCTTAGCACATAATCATGTGTTTACTCGCCGGTGGTTCTAGACTGGTGGATTTGGAAATCAATATTCTCAATCGTAATCTATCGAATGTCGTGAGTTATACTGTTCATATAAAATGTTTTTGCATATATCAAGTTTATCAAAAGAAGTTGGATCAAAAAATTGACCTTTTTTCAAAATTCCCTTGAACTTAAATAATTTGAGACTAAATATTAGGAGAAATATGAGCTATACAAAATTATTATTAAATTAGATTTATTATTAAATTATCAAGAAATCCTGAATCAGCTTGCAGCTAATAGTTAAGGATACATATTTCTACCCGAAGTAGGGAGGGGGTGTTTTAATAGTTTATTCATTGTTCATTACTTACGTTTGAGAGTTCTTTACGTTTGAACAGAACCCGGGTCCGAAAATACCAAGAAGAACGGGTAGGAGCAGAAGACCATGAAGCATGCCAAGGATAATAATCATGAAAATCATCCGAGAAAATGTAATCGTGATGTAGCTGAAAATAAGATCAATTAATTTTAATCTTAAAATATAAATCGATAAAATCAGCGAAAAAGTTGGAACATTTAAAGTAACTAGTCGCAAGAAAATTTTCTTTTGGGGATTAAGGAATGTAAATCGAGTTCAGATTAGGTTTAGATGGATCATCAAAAGCATCGACCCCCCCCCCCCCGAGACCACAGAGAAATTAAAAATATTTGCTATTGAACGATGTTTACAATTATTCAATCTTTTGGAAGAATTACAGAATTTTTAAGTTATTTTTCGAGTGAAGAAGCGGAATGCGGCTTCTATACAGCAGCTTTATACATGAAAATCATAATGCAAATTTAGAAAAAAATTTGAAAATGATTACCTGGGATGAAAGATGAGACCAACTACTCCTAGGAGTGTGGTTGAACCTCCTCTGATGATAGCAGGACCCAGGGCATGCAGGCAGTGCTTTAATTTCGTCTCCGGAGACAACCCTACAGGAGGTTTATTCATTATTCAGGAATACTCCTGATGCCAGCTAAACTCCGAAGTGAATTCCATGGTATGATTGATTGGGTTATAGCGAGAGAAAATGGGAACCAATTTTCAAAACATTGTAGATAAATCTTCAGCTTGAAATAGTATTTTAACCATGTGTTTAAATATTAAAAAAAGGCAATCTTAAGTTTAAATCTTTAAAAAAACATTATTGCTCTTAATATTTACGATTAGAATTTAAATTTTTAATATTCTGTTTTTGCTACTCTTTTTGACAGTCTCCTTCTCCGTTTCTCTACTCCTCTTCTTAGTTTTACCATGCATTAAAAATTAAATTAGATAATACATTAATACCTTCGCCTGCACTGAGATAATGGTAGGATATGTGCGCCGAGAAATCCACGGAGAAACCAATTCCCATAATCAACACAATCATGCTGATCACATCCAGGTTGATCCCGGCCAGGGCCATGAACCCAACCACACCAATCTCTACAGAGATGACAGTGAAGGTCACCCAGATCACACAGATCTTGTTCGGGATGAAAAAGAAGGTGATGACGGACATACAGATGCAGCAGGAGACGATACAGCTGATGGTTGTTGGGAGGACGAGACTGAATTGATCAAAGTACTGGAAGAAAGGATGGAAGATGGTTACGTTAAATGGTGCCGAGTCCACAATTTCCCGCACAGTTTTCAGGAAATGTACCTAGAAGAATTTTTTTATTGCACTTTAAAGAAGTTTCATAAATATAATATTTTATTATTAAAAACTGTAAAAGTGAAGGAAGGGAAGTGGGGGGGGGGAGGGGAACGATCCTTACATCTTCTTTGGCATCTCTTATCCTTGAACTCTGTAGAAAGAATCTTGAAGCTAGGATGGACTTCTTATCCGGACTGAACACCACGTCACCGTACAAAGGCGTATCTTTAATCTCCACTAGGAACTGGGGGCAGATAAAACAGGTTTCATGGGGGTCAAAAATATATTTTTTTAAATAGGTGAATTGCTTTTTTTTCAAAGATGTATAAAGAAAAAGAGGCAATGGATCTGGAGGTAGGGTTTCCAGAAAAATTATTTCGCATTTATTCGCATATTTGAAGGTGCAAATGAAATTCGAAATTTTCGACGAAAATTTGGGTTTCTCGCGATTTCTTCTTTTCGCCGGACCCTAATCTGGAGTAATACTTATGAGTCAGTGTTATACCACATGAGAAGGGCGCATTTTTATTAATTGTCAGAACATAGTGATTTTTATCACTTTTGAATAGTTGAATGGTGATCTAATTTATCTAAGACCAACTAAAGATGTGATAGGTAATTTCCCAGTCACAACTTCTCCAAGTTAATTTCACCATGCAGTAAAACACATTAAGTATTTTCGAATGTACGATTATTCTAGTGAATTAATCATTTCATACATCTAAAATGCACATATTTGCAAATTTTCATGTTTGAAATTTACAACATAGTTATTTGGCGTCATTATTTTAGCACTAAATCGCTGTCAATAAAGAAGAAAAAATATTTTTCGTGATCCCAACAAGTATGAATATAATCTATCAAGTGACAGATATTTAAAATTCTATGTAACCCAAAAAGATCTAAAGATATCTTTGTATTTTTGTAAAGTTTCAAAAATGTTAATATAACCCAAACATTTTGTCGATTTAATTAAAGATTATTTCAATATTTTCTAAAAACTATTCATTATTTTAGAAAGTTTTACTGCATGGGGAAATTGTTGTTGGGGAAGTTGCTATTGGGGAAATTATTGGTTTGGAAAGTTATGACTGGGGAAATTGAGAAGTTTTGGGGAAATTACCTTCCACTACTGAATAAACTAGGGAGGAATCATTTCGGATCGGATCTAAAATGCGATTTTCGGGACGTTCAATAAAATTTAAAAAAAATGAATCATTTGAAAAAATTGTACAAGCCTAATATAAAAAACGCAGAAAACATCAGGTTTATCGAGAATAATGTGCGTATTTCAACTTTAAATCTTGGAGAAAATACAATATGAAATGGGACGCTCTCTATGAAAACTGAGAAAAACTTGTTTTATTCCTTGAAAAGATTTTCCACGAAGGTTTGAGGAGTTGATACATCAATCAGAAGAAAATTCTTCTCAACAACTGCCAAGAACTCGTGAAGCCAAGATTGACGGAAAGCAGTCATGTTTGATATAACCCCGGAGTCTTCGAGCTGAATTAACTTGAGATCTTCATTTGATCTACATTGTTTACTTCAACTTTTAGACAATTGAGATTTCATCTAATTTGATTCAAAAATAAGAGCAACTTAAGGGGAAGGGAGGAGGGAAATTCTATTTTACTTCTTGATGCCCCCATATGTGCCCGACATATTCAATGAAGAAAATATTGTCTACAAAAAAAACTCTCTCAATAACGTAAAAGATATTAGACTGTAGAATATACTTTTATCTTTACATCTAATGAAATAAGAGATGTTACTCCCAGGAGACATTATCTTTAAACCTACTCCCACCCACGATCTTCATTTCTTCGTCGAAAGTCAGGGTCGGATACAAGTCTGAACCAAGATCATTTGCCACGCATCCTTTACCCTGCATCATGAATCCTGTACCCCGTATCCTGCATCCTGCATCCCGTACCCTGAATCCTGTACCCTGCATCCTGTACCCTGAATACTGTACCCTGCGTCCTCTGCTCTGCATTGCATCCTGTACCCCATCATGTACCCCATCCTGTACCATAAATCCTGTGCAAAACGTCATGTACCAAGCGTACTATACCCTACATCCTGTACCCTGCCGCATCCTGCATCCTGCATCCTGTACCATACATCCTGTACCAAACGTCCTGTACCAAGCGTACTGTACCCTGCATCCTGCAACCTGTACCCTGCTGCATCCTGCATCCTGTACCATACATCCTGTACCAAACGTCCTGTACCAAGCGTACTGTACCCTGCATCGCGCTGTACCAAACGTCCTTTACCCTGCATCCTGCACCATGCATACTGCACCCCATCCTGTAAATGCATCTTGTACCCCATCCAATACCCTCCTCATGTACGGTGTACCCTATCCTGTACCCTGCATCATGTACACTGTACAGTGTACCCTATCCACTACCCTGCACACTGTACCCCAGCCTTCACCTGGTGTATCATGTTCAGAACTTGACCTTGAACAGTTTTGTTCGAATAATCCAAGGTTTCATGAACAACAATCTGAAAATTAGTTTAAACTGAAAACAATTATCGAAATTATTTTCTTTACATATATAAATATTAAATTAATATTAAACTTTTTACATTAAAAGCATCTTATTTAAAGAATATTATATAGTTCAGAGGATAAGGATTTTTCATTTTATCTGAAACAGAAGTCGACAAGAACGCCAAAATCATTTTTTCTTAGGACAAAGAAGTTTAAATCAACGGCGAAGTTTCTTTTTGAATTAAAAAAATTTGTTAATTTTGATAATTAACAGAACATACATATTACATGGCAACAAAATTAGGAAATATTATGAATTTGTTTCCAACTACCTGGAGTCCTAATGCCTGGAGTTAAATTAACTGGAGTCCTAATGCCTGGAGTTTTATTAAATGGAGTTCTATTACCTGGAGTTCTATTACCTGGAGTCCTAATGCCTCTATTTACATTACCTGGAGTCCCATAAATGTCTGGATTACTATTACCTGGAGTTCTAATGCCTAGAGTTTATTACCTGGAGTTCTATTACCTGGAGTTCTAATGCCTAGAGTTTTATTACCTGGAGTTCTATTACCTGGTTTTCTATTACCTGGAGTTCTATTACCTGGAGTTCTATTACCTGGATTTCTATTACCTGGAGTTCTATTACCTGGAATTCTATTACCTGGATTACTTGGAGTTCTATTATCTGGAGTTCTATTACCTGGAGTTCTATTACCTGGAGTTCAATTACCTGGAGTTCTATTACCTGGAGTCCTAATACCTAGAGTTCTATTACCTGGAGTCCTAATGCCTCGATTTACATTACCTGGAGTCCTATATATGCCTGGATTACTATTACCTGGAGTCCTATAAATGCCTGGATTTCTATTACCTGGAGTTCTAATGCATAGAGTTCTATTACCTGGAGTTCTATTACCTGGAGTTCTAATGCATAGAGTTCAATTACCTGGAGTTCAATTACCCGGAGTTCTATTACCTGGAATCCTAATACCTAGAATTCTATTACCTGGAGTCCTAATGCCTCGATTTACATTACCTGGAGTCCTATAAATGCCTGGATTACTATTAACTGGAGTCCTATAATTGCCTGGATTTCTATTATCTGGAGTTCTAATGCCTAGAGTTCTATTATCTGGAGTTCTAATGCCTAGAGTTCTATTACCTGGAGTTCTATTACCTGGAGTTCTGTTACCTGGAGTCCTATTACCTGGAGTCCTATTACCTGGAGTCCTATCACCTGGAGTCCTATTACCTGGAGTTCTATTACCTGGAGTTCCTATTACCTGGAGTCCTATTACCTGGAGTCCTATCACCTGGAGTCTCTACTACCTGGAGTTCTACTACCTGGAGTTCTATTACCTGGAGTTCTATTACTTGGAGTTCTATTATCTGGAGTTCTATTACCTGGAGTTCTATTATCTAGAGTTCTATTACCTGGAGTCGTAATGCCTGGAGTCCTATTACCTTAAGTCCTAATACCTGGAACCTATTACCTGAAGTCTGTATGGATTGTCCCTAAAAAAGTCGTCTTCTGATTGGAAGAAGGGAAGTGCATAGGAAAAATCCCCAACCAACTTTTTCCTCTCCAATCCTTCAGTCAACTGGGTTATACCGTAAACTGCAACTGCCTGTACAATGTAAAGAACTGTAATAAAAGTACATGTGTTCTTACGAGTAGCGCTGCTTAGCAATGGAACTGGCACTAACTGCCATAAAATTAATAAAAATCAACTTATTTACTTCAGCTAGTCCCAAATTCAGAATTGAAAACATAATTTCAATTGACCATTCTTTTATGGTCACATGTCTGATACAAAATTGCTGCCTTTAAAACTTTGCCTGATTTCATTTAATTTTTCTCTGTAAAACTGAAGGCGATATGCGGATTTATGCAGCTGAAACAATGAACAAATTGTTCCCCAGAGTAAGGTTTAAAACTAAAAGGAAATGCTTCTTGGCGAATAAAGGATGAATCAAAATTACGTCTTTGAAAAGAATCATTGTGCTTGTTTATTGTAAACTTTGTCTTAATGGTATTTCTGAAGTAATTTCACTTTCCCGGATATATTTGTTATACTTAGGTTGTTATTTGTTAATAATATTTTTTTGACATAGAAGTAATTTTTTTTTCGTTTTAGTCAAAATATTTGTAAAGATGTTGATTGTGAAAAGGCCCAATTATCCTATTAACTTAATTGATAAAAAAATAGTTTGGAGTAAAAAATAGATCGTTAACGTAATTTGATGACTCTACAATTAACGCTTGCCATAAATGATAACACAGAGGTCCTCCCGGAAAATATTAGTTGTGAAATAGACTTTAAAAACAGAAACCACTGATAATTATACATTCACATGTATATCATATGATGATAATAGTTCAGGAGAAAATATTTCGGGTTTCCTAACAATCTCATGACAAACTTTGAATCAAAGGCCTTTCTTAAGTCTAAACTACAAAACATAAAGAAATGAACTGATTTTAAAAATCTACTTGCTAGTTCTATACATAGTCTGTATATACTATCAAAAGCGGTAAAAATCTCAGGGGTTTCTGATTTTAAAACCTACTTTCATCTGAAGTGAACAGTGAGTTGCTAATTTGAAGTAAAGTATCTACATCATCATTTCTTGGATAATTCTTGAAAATATGCGTCACTTGTGAAAATTAACGATCTTTATGAAATATAATCTAAATAGAAGTAAATGGCTTACATTAGGGGGCTGCAGTTACGCAAACGTAATTTCAAAACTTACTCTCCATTAATAGGTAGCGTTTCTGGTTCATAACAGGTTTGGCAGTTAGAACACAATTTTAGAGATAAAAAACATATGAAGATCATGAAGTTTAAATGGGTACCGTTGTAAATCATACAGTCTATTCTTTTGCATGGTGGCCCACCTGGTGGGCCACTTGAAAATGCGGTTACAGTCCCTTTAACACTTACCAAATATGCAGTAAAAGCAAGTATTATGACAAGCTGACTCAATTTATTACTTATCAGTGGAGCTAAAACATCTCTATAGACAAATATCTTTAAATATAGAATTGGATAAAAACAAACAGTTTTTTAGAAAACAAAACTTTAAAAGTTTGACAATTCCTTCTAAATATTTGATGTTCCTGAAGTACTCCATCATTTTGCCCTCTTTATTATCTCTAAACATAATTTTATTATTTATCAAAATTTTATTTATAAATGTATTTTTATCGTTTGAACGTAGTTTTTGCTTGAACTGCTATCAAAGAAAAAATTGATTTTTTAAAAACAATATTGAATAGAAACTATTTTAATTGATGCGCAGTATATACTACCTGGAGTTCTATTACCTGGAGTTCTATTACCTGGAGTTCTATTACCTGGAGTTCTATTACCTGGAGTTCTATTATCTGGAGTTCTATTACCTGGAGTTCTATTACCTGGAGTTCTATTACCTGGAGTTCTATTACCTGGAGTTCTATCTTCTTTGGCATCTCTTATCCTTGAACTCTGTAGAAAGAATCTTGAAGCTAGGATGGACTTCTTATCCGGACTGAACACCACGTCACCGTACAAAGGCGTATCTTTAATCTCCACTAGGAACTGGGGGCAGATAAAACAGGTTTCATGGGGGTCAAAAATATATTTTTTTAAATAGGTGAATTGCTTTTTTTTCAAAGATGTATAAAGAAAAAGAGGCAATGGATCTGGAGGTAGGGTTTCCAGAAAAATTATTTCGCATTTATTCGCATATTTGAAGGTGCAAATGAAATNCCCGACCCACGATTCTTGCTTAGATTGCATATCCAGTTGCCTCTTTTACTTGTCAAAAAAGGGTGTTAAGATTTTTTTGAATTGTTGTAACATTTAGCTTTGAAAAAATGGTATTTAATTTTAAAAATCATCAAAATTATGAGCTGAAAAAATCCGCAAAATTCTAAAAATGATAAATTCATAACATTTTCCTTGGATTCTTTGGATCATCAGGATTGATTCCACCCTAGAATAAAGGAACTAAAGTCTAAACAAGTATCCAAGTATCCAAATATTGGAAAGTAAATTGTAAAGGTAAAGCTAATAACATAAAAACTTGAAATTAAATTTGATTTCACAATATAAGAATAGTAAAAAATCTTTGGCATTATAAAACAAGACATGCTACATTACTTATACATCAAGATCAATAAAACGGACATAAACTAGCACATGCTACATTACTTATACATCCAGATCAATAAAACGGACATAAATTGGCACATGTTACATTACTTTAACATCAAGATCAATAAAACGGACATAAACTGGCACATGCTACATTACTTNATACAAAGATATTTTCTTTTATTGCGCGCGCGCGCGGACATTTAAGCCTTTGGGGTTGAATTTTTTTAGCGCATATTTGTTTCAAGAGTGTCAGGAAAAATTTTCAAGTGCAATTAATGAAGTTAACATTGATTTACTGTCAAAAAAGTCGCATTTTTTCACAAAAAACGCGCGCGCGCACGCACTTTTGCTCAGATTCCTTCAAAACCAAAAAATGCACGTAATATACATAATTCTGAGTTTGCATGCAAAAAATCAGCCTCCTACGACAATTCTAAGTTATGTTTAAACACTGTTTAAATTTTCCGGAGAGTAATACGTTTTGTGGCCCCCCCCCCTTGGTACCGAAATTAGTACCCTATAGTAGTGTTTTCAATATCAAAATAAAATTCATAAAATATCATCTCTATACAAACATGGACTTTTCTGTGATATCGCTTTAAGATGATAGTTTTTTATAAAGAAACATTTACGTAGATAATACAAGTAATCATGCCTTCACGCACCTCTGCCCCTTTAGTAAAAGTAAATTCAACCTATATGAAGCATATAGTCTGACCGCGTCAACCTTGTTGCACAGGCTAGTCCTGTTGATTGTCTGCTTTATTAACCCAATGTCCGTGCAGTATACAGTACAAACTGGGAGCGGAAAGGTTGACCCGGCTCGGAAATTCAAATGTACTACGGCTGCCCGTGCCTTTTAGCCTGACTCTTGCCTGGCCCTACACAGTTTGCTTATTTGAAACATATGCCAGTGACGTCCTGCCAATTGCATGATGCGGTGCGGTTAGATAAGAGCATAACCCTGACTTCTACGGGACAATGGTTGATAGTTTTATTTTGATATTCTATATATATACCCAGCTAACCCAGCTATATATAAAAAGAAACAAACTGTGTAGGGCGAGGGAGGGAGTCCAGAGTTCCTCAAATAGTAATCACCGCCACCCAAATCTGTTTTGCGGCAAGCGCGCTCCTCAATTGGTAATCTCCACCACCACAAATAGTAATCAGCCCAAAAAAGCATAAAATTAAATCGTTTATTTCTTCGAAATAAGACCATATTGACCTCTTTTAATGGCCCTATATATATAATATATATATATATATGTATACATATATATATACTTCGCTTTTTGTCTGTCTGTAAGTATGTCCGTTTCTATCCAATAAACGTCAAAACGGCTGAAGCAATCGGGCCCAAGTTATAACAGTATGACAGTTACATATACGATATATCATCATTTTTGATATTCAATTTATTTATTATTATTATCAGGGTTTGTTTCGTACACAATAGAGGTACAATAGATACAAGCAAAGAAAAGATATGAATAAAAAAATGAATAAACAGATAAATGTTATCATTTGACCCATTCTGACCTTTATAAAGAGAACACAGTGCCTATTCGCCAGTTCTAACCGGCCTGCTAGTGTCAGAAATCCGCCAAAGATTGTTAGAGTCCAAAAGTAAATGAACAACAGCCCCAGCCCTAAATACACAATTTTAGCAGAAAAAAATTAAACCAAATACAATTCAAAGTTTTATTATTAATTTTGATAATTGATCTTAATACGTAATTTAAACATTAATAATATAATTATCAATATTACTTTATCCATCAATAATTACAATTTTTTCAAGATAATTTAGATCATTAAAGTTCGAAGTTTTGTTGATAAATCACAAATTTTGAATGACCAAAAACTTTAGTTAACAATAGAGCTGGGCTAGATCGTTATCACTTTATCAAACCCCGCTTGCTAACTGTTTAGACAAGTTAACGTAACTGTTTTCTTCGTTTGTTATCATTGTTTCCAGTTAATTTTCAAATGCATTAATATGAATTTAAGAACTTTTGTTCATTTCTTGAAATTCTTCAAATTAAAAGAATATATATTTTCACTCAAAAGTCACAAAATGCTTAAAAAAATATGAGTTATTATTAAGCATAAAAAACGCATCTAAGGATTTTTTCATTTTTATTTTGAACTGCATTATATTTACATATCCCTTAGGGAATACGAGATGTGAGGTAAAAGCAAAGTAATAATTTATGCATGTTTATTAATGGAAGACATATGTACTGTCATAATTACTTTTCTACTTCAAAACTTAAAACTTTAATGAAAGGAGGAAACAGAATTCTTTAAGATAACTTAATACGGGGAAAAATATCATTTTGTCAAATAAACCTTGTTAAAAGTTCTTTTTGACAAATTAATTAGCAATCGGTTAAAATGTAATGTATGGATTAAAAAATTTGTATTTTAAAATATAAAATTGTAATTAAATATACTGAAGATTAACCTGTATACCAGCAGAAAATCTCGACACAGGGAAACCCTTCAACAACAAAACTTTTTTCTTATCATAAAATCCGGCTAAGGATCGGAATGTGGATCCGTTTGATCCGCACCATTTTGGCTTTCTGGATCCGGATTTGCAAAAATATGCAGATCCACAGATCCGGATCTAATGGGAAAAATATAACATAACCGTAAAAAAAACTTTTTTCTCTAAATAAAGAGATTATTGAAAGCTTCCTAATCTCTGAATGGTGCACAATATGCAACAACATATAAAGAAATAAAATGATTTAAAAATTTTTCTTTTGTTTAAAACTGCTTGAAAAAATCTTTTTACTTCTAGATCTCCACTTTTCAAAAGGTACCGTCAATGATTTGCACCTGTCAATCTAAAACCGTCACATATCTAAAATTAAAATAAAATCTCAGGATGGAAAAATAATGTGTAAGTCGTATTATAATAATTTATTAAAAAGTTTTCTTTCTTAAACTTAAGGAGTTTAGTTGAGCTGAGAGTACAGTATTGTACAGACGTTTTTTATAATTCATTTGAGACCCATAAGACGTTTTTACAGTGAAAAATTGTTCAGCAAAAGAGCAAAAATTCCTTGGCGCCCCCCTGTCCTGCAGGAGGTGGGCGGCATTCCTGCTGCAGGTGGTGGCGCGGCACGTCTGCCCTGCCCTTTAAGTTGTTAAACTTGACAAGAATAAGCGATCAGCATCAGTTTATTTATGTTACTAAAATTCGATTATTTTAGGTGGTTCTGAAGCTACGCAAAAATAGAAATAGCTTTTCTGAAGCTCGGTGGTAAAAAAGCTATAAGCTGTTTTGTTTCCTGGCATTAAAGCTCCGATTAGGAAGCTGATAATGTTGGTGATTGAAGTTATAGTTATTGATACCGCAGCATCTTGATATGTCAAGGACATCCTAAAATAAACAATCAAGAAAATAGGATTACCTAAACGAAGGATGGCTTATCGCCGTTACAATTCCCTCCTTATTCCTCAGACCAATCTCTAAAACTGAAGATCTTAGCTTGGTTTAACAAATCTCAATTTGGTGGGTTGACTTTTATAGGGAGAATTCCAGGCAAAGCTGGGTTCTCAAGATAGTATTTATGTTTGTATGTATGTAATATGTATGGTATATCAAAACTCGGGAACCCATTGCCAGATTGGCTTCAAATTTGGATTGGGGAACTCGGTTAAAGGGATTGACCGGCTATGTAAGGTAGTTGAACTGAATATGCAGTGTTGTGGAAAACTTCTTTCGGATTCACTTGAGACAAATAAAACTTTTTAAAGATTTGTAAATCCTGAGTTAATTAATAGTACGTATAATTACAGTTAGTCAATTTACATTTGGTCAACCCTACAGTTAATCACCTTTCAAAGTACGAAACATCATCTGGTACATTTTATCCGACTACATTTGGCCAACCCTACAGTTAATCACCTTTCAAAGTACGAAACATCATCTGGTACATTTTATCCGACTACATTTGGTCAACCCTACAGTTAATCACCTTTCACAGTACCAAACATCAACTGGTACATTTTATCCCACTACATTTAGTCAAACGTGTTACAAATGCTGATTTACATGGTCAAGTTTTATTAACTTTCTACACTTAATTATTCCAATACGTAAATTTACACTGCTACAAATATTAATTAACATAATTGTCTAATTTTTATGATAGATGAATGAATTATTATCTTATCTTAATTTGTGCGCCAATGTTCGCGGATCCGTGATCAGAATTCCGTTGCGCGGAACTGTTCTTGTATTGCGCTGAATTGTGCGGAATTGGGCGAAAATTACAGGGCCTGCAATTCCACCCAAGTAAAATCCACTTGCGAATTTGATACCCTAGTGTTAATGTTCAAGGAAATCGTTTTTTTTTTAAATCTCTTAAAGTTGACCGAATAAAGATTGACCAAATGTAGATATGACAAAATTAAAATTGACCCAATGAATGAACTCCAAAAAAAAACTATACCAGATATTCCCGGGAAGTGTTGAATTTGTTACAGTCTAGGTTGGTTTACTGTTTACCTCGTGACAACATCGTTTCCTTCAGTTCTCCACCAAGAGGAGAGCATGACGAAGGTATCATCAACTCCAATACCAATCAACAAAAAGATCGAAACAAGATTGATCGCCTGGAAAACATTGATTATAATATTTTTGACCACAAACTCAAGTTTTCTAATGCCTATATCTTTGCAATCTGATGGTGCAAACCTTTGATATTTCAATCTCAGATTATTTGATCTAACAGAGCTAATAATTTGATTTATCAAGGTCTACGACAATATTGGGTTGACAAGATATAGGGATTGGAAAACGAATCAATTTCTTTAAGGATTCGGATCTGGAATTTTGAAAAATGGAACAAAATTTCAGCAATTTACGTTTTTTACATGAATATTTTTTATTTCTCCATGAAAACATTGAAGAAAGAAATAGAAAAAACCAAATAAATACTTTAAATTATGTGAGTTAATATAACTCGTAATTTGATATATTATATAAATATTCAATCTGGATAAAATGGATTTTAGGCATTAAATTCTGAGCACTACAATGGACGACCAGATGACGAACATGTCTCCGACTCTAGCAGCCAAACTATTATCCCGAAAAGTATGTTATTAGTACGTAAGGCCCTTGTTCATGAAAGAAACATACTCTGGTGACTAATGATTCCAATATAAAATATGGTTTTAAATAAATAGTGGATATATGCATGGATGTATGTACTATGTATTGTTAAATGTTAATAGAATTTAAAGATAGGGGTTTTGTGGATGAATGGATATCAGATTGATTGTTAGATGAAATTACAGAAGATGGATGTTTTACAAATGAAAATAATCATTTTTGTTGTTTAGAAGTAAATATCATTAGTCTAACATTTTTGTTTATAATGAAGACACACTTCGAAAAATGCTTCTTCTCCGACTCTGTAAACAGACTCTGGAACCTTCCTTAACTTCATCCAATTGATTATCCACCTCTATTATTGAAGGAGTTTGTAATTGATCCATTTAATCTTGTTATTTCACCAATCAATTATTTTATTATGATATTTCAATCTTGTAAATAAGATTTGTTATGATTTTTGAAGAGAGGAAATTTTGTAAAAGTAATGATTTCCATGAATTAAGTTTTTAGATAATAATGAGGAACACTAAACCTTGATGTTAACCCGTATACAGGGTGCGGATTCTGAATCTATGCGTAGCCTAAATAGACTTAGGATATAAATGCATGTTCATAGTCTACTTTTTCAAGACCAACTAATTGAAAATAATTAGAACAATAACTTATATAGTTTGTGTCCTAGAAAGGGTTAAAAAGGCCAAAAAAGGGTAAAAAAGTGAAAATATTTTTTTTTGTTTTTTTAATAAATATCAAAGTGTGACACATGTTTCTACGTCCAATTTAGGCTGTTTTAGATTTTATTTACACAGACCGAAGTTTTTGACGCTCTGCCCTACCCTATGCATTAAAAAAAAATTTCACAAAAAATCCTTTAAATTTATTTCATTTATCATAGATTTGTTATTGTTTTGTTGCCGAAATACATATAATTATTATATATATTCATTAAAAGTCACAAAATTTCACGGTGATAGTATCAAAAATGCGAGTGCAAGGACAAAAAAAAATAGGGTTAACAGACTAGAAAGACCAGTAGACTTCAGGGGACTGCAAAGTTACTGACTACAGATGACTTTGAGACAGCATGAAATACAGAATAGTCAAGAAGATGAAAGATATGAAGACGAAGTTTAAATTGCAATTTTGCATTTATTTATGATAATTTGTTTTACTGTGAATGATGGTTTTAAAAGTCAGTAAAAGTCAGTGTCATGTTTTTACGAGAAAAAAAAGAGGATTGGAAGCTGAATACGACCAAAATTTTAATTTCTCAAAAAAAAATAAGAAAATTATAAAAAATAATTCTGTTGAATAATTAATAATTAATAAGTAATGTAGACAATTAAATTCCCGAAAAAATAATTATAAAATCCGCAAATCAGTTGCTTTGGATTCTGGACCCATAGAAGACCTAGTCATCTTCCTCACCTTTTATTCACTCGTTATTTATTGTGTATTGATATCTAGAAGCAATAAATGTACTTCTAAAGTGGTAACTCTAAACAGCAAATAAACCATAATCGAATACACAGCCAACTGGTCAGAAACAGCTCAAGAATTGGACGAGGATGACAATCTCAAGCTTAAACTTCTTATCCACTAATTCACTTATCCTTCATCCTACAATTAGCTACTCCTGGAGCTTATAAGCTAAACCTCAGCTACTCCTGGAGCTAATAAGCTAAACCTCAGCTACTCCTGGAGCTAATAAGCTAAACCTCAGCTACTCCTGGAGCTAATAAACTAAACCTCAGCTACTCCTGGAGCTAATAAGCTAAACCTCAGCTAATCCTGGAGCTAATAAGCTAAACCTCAGCTACTCCCGGACAAAATAAGCTGAACCTCCTAAGCTAAACCTCAGCTACTCCTGGACAAAATAAACTAAACCTCCTGGAGCTAATAAGCTAAACCTCAGCTACTCCTGGACAAAATAAGCTAAACCTCCTGGAGCTCAGCTACTCCTGGAGCTAATAAGCTAAACCTCTGCTACTCCTGGAGCTAATAAGCTAAACCTCAGCTACTCTTGAAGCTAATAAGCTAAACCTCTGCTACTCCCTGGAGCTAATAAGCTAAACTTCAGCCCTCCAGAAGTTGATCAGCTACACAGCTAGCAACTACAGGAGCTAATTAGCTTAACAGCTACTCCTGGAGCTAATCAGCTACTTCTGGAGCTACCAAGAAACTCAGCTGCCATCTTTAGTCTACTGATAGATATTCTGGACGCCAGTATCTACAGGTTAAATCTATGCCTGCCTAGCCTTCATTACCACTGATCTCTTCAAATGGCCACTTGCCAGCCTAACACAATGTGGATCAAGACGTGGGGAGGGGGCAGATCAGAAATTCACAAACAGCTAGTTGGGAATATTGATCAATCATCACCAGAACTCCTTCTACTCCTTTTTCGTAAACAAGGAGATAATTATCAGTCTTGACTCTCTCAATGCTCGAGACTAAGGGCGCACTTCTGTAGAGGATGAACTCCCCGAAAGAAGATTATGAAATCCGCAAATCAGTAGTTTCGGATCCTGGGACCAGAGAAGACCTACTTATCTTCCTCTCCTTTAATACACTCGTTATTTATCACGTATTTATATCTAGAAGCAATAAATGTACTTCTAAAGTATCCTTTTTCAGTTTTACTGACCTGCCATTTTAGTCCACAATAAAGAGCCAGTCCGTAAGCAGATAGCCCAGATAAGATGGAAACTGCCAAACCCAATACTAGAATAGAATAGACTATACCAAACCCAATACTAGAATAGAATAGACTATACCAAACCCAATACTAGAATAGAATAGACTATCCCAAACCCAATACTAGAATAGAATAGACTATACCAAACCCAATACTAGAATAGAATAGACTATACCAAACCCAATACTAGAATAGAACCAAACCCAATACTAGAATAGAATAGACTATACCAAACCCAATACTAAATAAGAATAGACTTTATCATACCCAATACTAGAATAATAGACAATGCCAAACCCAATACTAGAATAGACAATGACAATCCCAATACTATAGAATAGAATAGACATTGCCAAACCCAATACTAGAATAGAATAGACAATGCCAAACCAAATACTGGAATAGACAATACCAAACCCAATAATAGAATAGAATAGACTATCCCAAACCCAATACTAGAGTAGAATAAACAATGTCGAACCGAAAACTGGAATAGACAATGCCAAACCCAATACTAGAATAGAATAGACAATGCCGAACCCAATACTAGAATAGAATAGACAATGTCAAACCCAATACTAGAATAGAATAGACAATGCCAAACCTATTACTGGAATAGACAATGCCAAACCAATACTGAAATACAATATAGTCAATTCCAAACCCAATACTAGAATAGAATAGACAATGCCAAACCAAATACTGGAATAGACAATGCCAAACCTATTACTGGAATAGACAATGCCAAACCCAATACTGAAATACAATAGACAATGTCAAACCCAATACTAGAATAGAATAGACAATGCCAAACCGAAAACTGGAATAGACAATGCCAAACCTATTACTGGAATAGACAATGCCAAACCCAATACTGAAATACAATATAGTCAATTCCAAACTGATTTAATTCTCAATATTTACGTCTTAATTTGAAGTAATTAAATCTCATTGTAAAAAAAAACATGGACTATGTTAAATATGAAAAAATTTGCTTTGTTAAATTTTAAACTGAGCAAAATTTAAACTTCATTATATTTGCAAATTTAAAACGAATAGAGAAATATTTGCTATTTTAGACGCTCGGAATTGTTCTCAATTTTGAGAACAATTCTTAAACAATTCTTTTGATTCCAGATTTTGTTTAACACAAGTTTCTCTCCTAAATGTTGCGAAAAAAAACCAAATTTAGTTATTAAAAATTTGGATCTAATAACGAGAAGCAGTTTAGCTAGATATGGCTAGTCAAGAGGCTGAGTTCAACAAATTTGAGCCGCGGTTTTAACAGGGTTGGTTCCACTTGAAATTGTATTCAGTTGGCGCTCAATTGGAACCGGTTTCTGGCGGATCAGCGTCGCTGTTTAAATTCTTAAAATTCGGCCTCAGGAAACCTAACAAGTTTTGTCTCAGTCAACAGGATTGCTGAATTACATAAAACGAAGTTAAACGAGTCTTAGCGAGCTCAACTGTTTCTCTTTTATTAAAAAATTTCCGACTTTAAGATTGTTTAATATTTAGTTCGTTTTACCTCCCATGAAAGGTTTGGAACGGACCCAATCAGTCGAGAGACAATTGTACACAGAGAACGCCAAAACTAATAAGACTTAAATCAATCTGAAGTTAGAGTAAGGAGTTATAGGATGCAATTAGAAACAAACGTATGAATATAATGGTGAAATCTATAAAATAATTTTTCAGATTATGAGAAAATATTTACAACAAACAGGGATGTCTACAGAATTTTTTTCTAGAGGCGTGGACAAACTTGATAAATAAATGGGGTTATTGGCTTTAAAAGTTGTTTTCGATGGGGGGGGGGCCTCCCCCTCCATTATACTCTCTTGACGAAATTATGCTGAACTAAAAATATATGTGAGGAAAAAAAACATTTTCAGGGTCATGTCGTCTTGAAATTCTTTAAAAAAAATATTCAAGGATTTAATTACGATTTTTACCCTCTAGATCATTTCAAATGATTGAGTAAAGAAAGAAACAATTGTACTGCGACAGGAAGCCTTGAAAGAAAGACTGAATCAAATTATGATTATCATAATTATTATTACTATCCCATAATTATTATTACTTTCCCATAATTCCGTATAATTATTGAGCCCAATAAAATTTATAAGATTTTTTAACTCCAAGCTTATCTGTTTATTTAGAATATTTTGGATACAAACAATTATTTTAAATAATATAGTTGAAGGAAATATCATGTTATATAAAAAAAGTGAAACATAATTACCTAAATCACGAAACTTATTTTAAATAAACTAGTTGGAGGAAATATAATTTTCTTTCAAAACATAATTACCTAGAATAACTGTGATGGGGACTTTATCCACTACACTGTCAATATTGAGGCTTAGTTCCCGTTGAATAGATTGGTCTGTTATTGCGTACACCTATTTAAAATATAAGAAAAAAATTAATATCCAAATTTCTAAATAATGGGCGGCTAAAAAATACAAAAATTGCTACTGCTGGATTCATTTCCTAAATAGACTTCTTTTTTCCAGTATCTTCAAATACAGATTAGACTGCATTAAGCAAGAAAATAATATTAAAAATAGTTCAATCTTTAAAATCCGATTACAAACAAGTCTGTAGACCCTTGTACAAAAATTTTAGATCTACAAGCCTAAAATTGGGCTCATTGAATCGGAAATTGTATGTATATCCCTGAATAAAAAAAAATGTTATACTTTTCCAAGATTTAACAATTATTATTCTAGACTCCAACAAAATTAAGCAATTTGGAGTAATAATAATACCAATACCTATCTAAAAATAATTAAAGCTAAGAACTTATTTTTTAAAAATCCATAGCAAATAACTATGGGTGTGTACATAAGTAAATATACACGTACATAAATAACTATGGGTGTGTACATAAATAAATAATTTTCTGTTAAAATTTTAAAAAATTTCAAAATAATAAGCTCATTCTACTGACCTTTATATGGATGAATTGGATCGAGTTTGCGTACATTTTTGCAACCTATTAGAGGCAGATCTTTGAAAAAAAAACCTGGTTAGGGAAGGTACAGACGGCATAGTAAATTGTGATTGCTTATTTGTAATATCTCATGCTTTGTAGTTAAATGAAAATATGAAATAATAATTTTAAGGCCTTAGTTTAAATCGACAACTCAAAAATTGCAATGTAAATTTCAACAGACTTAACATATTTAATTCAATGCATAATTTTGAATGGTACCCTTTCAACATTATGCAAGTATAAAATAAATTTTTTTAAAATAAAAAACCGAGATTCAGAATATTCAGAACTTTTTTTGACTTCAGGAATGTCAGAATATGTTAATAACAGTGAATTAGCCAATTCAATAATAAACAATATCTTTAAGTGATAACAGCATTTTTTAACCGTTATTCGAGAGTTGAAGGGTTAGTTTTCAAACTGAAATAAAAAATTTTAACCGCAGCATATACAGAAAAGAACTCGCGGATTTCTACAGCAGCAGAGACAACGTTTGTTTGTTCAGTAGAAGTGGAAGTTAATCCGAGTAATTTGGCTGTAATCATCTATATCTCTTTCCACATTGACATATATATTTTTTCAGGATTTATCAAATTTTCAAATTTTTTTTTATTTATTTTCATTATTCTTATTATACTCTCAATTTTAACAAGTTGAGAGTAACTCCACCCACCTTCACTTAAACCAAAGTGATTAAATACTAAAGTGGACCAAACTCATTGTTGGAGGACGACATTTTATGTCCCAAGTATTTAAAAATAATATATATATATATAAGTTGGTCTGTACGGAGTGCACAGTACAACAGAAACTGGACGTAAATTAAGATTTAAGAAGTGAATTTTAGCCATTTTACTGCACAATAAATAATTTCAGACATCACAATAATGTCTGAATGCATAATCTGTAAAACAAGGAATGCACAATTTGTGATACCGAAAAATGAAGATCTTCGAAATATATCTCTCGGTCTTCACTTTTGTATTTTGACAGATGTAAGAGTGGTTGAGAACTAAGACATACAGGGTGTCTCACGAAACATGACAATTAATAAATCGTTATTTTTAGTAAAAAAAATCTTTTCCTTCATTATCTTTTACTTTGAAAACAGTTTTAATATAACATGACTCCCATATAATATTTTTATTGATCTTTGGTATCAAACAACTTAACAAAGACATTCTAAACTATTCACCCACTGTCTTGTTTCGACACCCTCCAGGAAAAGATATNAAGGGGGGTAAAATTAGAAGTGCCAGGCAAAATCAATGTAATGCTTAAGCGACTGTAGTATTTACATATAAACTACATGCTAACATACAAATTTTATAGATTTTTAATTATGAAAATTTCGAAGTTCTAATTGAAGACGACATTTACATGGGTCTTAGTCTATTTTTTCTAGTCTTTACTTTCCAAAAGAAATCTTTTCATGCAATTATTTCCAAACCAAATAAAACCTTATGGCTCAACCTGTCGTTGTTGCCTTAGTCTGTTCCACTTTAGTATTTATTCACTTTACACTTACACTCGTTATTTACAACATTGTACAGAAGAAAGTATGAATAAAATCTAATTTATGTCGTAGGGAAATATTTTTAGCTAAAAAGTTTCGAATTTTTGCATAACTTTTACTGAATAAGGATTCTCGGAATTTGTAAATTTATTCAACTATAAACTATTAATAAGAATTGGTATGGAAACATATTTTGTAATGTTTGAGACAAAAATATGCTTATTTCGATTTCATTGATTTAAAATCTGCGAATTCTAATTCAAAAATGTTTTGTCAAAGTCTTATATTGTTAAAAAATGAGACAGTTTATTAAAAGATCTGGCCTGCCTCCGTCCATATTTCTCCTGCTTTTGTTCTCCTAAGCAGAGATGGGCGTGTTAGTTTTTTTTCAATTTATTCATCGATCGTTCGTTAATAACCCAGTTCGTTCAGAAAAAATTGAATTAGTTCGTTCCTATACTAAACCAACGGCCGTTAATATTGTAATTTAAGATAGTTCGATTAAAAATTCCTTCAGTGAAAAACAAATTGATAATTTAAAAGTCCAATAGAAAAAAACGTTCTTTCAATAGAAAAACTATTGTCTTTTCAAGTTCATTCGAACGAACAATTTATAAGTCATTTGTTAACGGTCTGACTGATCCATAAAATTCGAACGATCTCAAACGATTTTGAATAGCTCGTTTTTATTTCAAACGTTTTAAAAAAACTATAGCTTTTTAATTTCTCTGAACGATCCAATTCGTCGTTCATCATTCGTAAACTTTTTGAACAACACAGATCTTACATAAAACGTTTCATTCGATCAAAAAAACAAGATGCCCCTCCCCACCTAGGTGTAGCTCTGTCGAGGATAAAGGTAAGTTTCAGAGCAGATCCACGGATAAGAATACCGTTCTGAACTACAGTTCCACCAATATGAGCAACCAGGGGGTAGGTCTAAAAATACATCTTTAAACAAACTTTATGGCAAAAAAGACTAGTAAATCATTTTACTCTTGCAATGACCTTCTCATCAATCTCATCCTTAGTTTCTCCAGTTCTCCATTCAACTACCAGTACTCCATTAAATTAACCTTGTTTGCTCCAGTTCTCCATTAAACTACCAGTACTCCATTAAAATAACTTTGTTTGCTCCAGTCCTCAATTAAACTACCAGTACTCCATTAAAATAACCTTGTTTGCTCCAGTCCTCCATAAAATTACCAGTACTCCATTAAACTAACCTTGTTTGCCCCGGTTGTCCATTAAACTCATCTTTTTTACTCCAGTACTCCATTAAACTAACCTTGTTTACTCCAGTACTCCAATAATCTCACCTTGTTTACTCCAGTTCTCCATCAAACTAAACTTGTTTGCTCCAGTTCTCCATTAAACTTACCTTGTTTACTCTAGGTCTAAATTAAAATAACATTGTTTACTCCAGTTCTCCTTTAAACTAACCTTGTTTACCCCAGTTCTCCATTAAACTAGCCTTGTTTACTCCAGTTCTCCATTAAACTAGCCTTGTTTACTCCAGTTCTCCATTAAACTAATATTGTTTACTCCAGTTCTCCATTCAACTAACCTTGTTTAATCCACTAATCCATTAAACTAACCTTGTTTACCCCAGTACTACATTCAACTAACCTCGTTTACTCCAGTATTCCATTAAACTAACCTTGTAAACTCCAGTACTCCATCAAACTAACCTTGAATATAAATACTCCAGTAATTAATTAAACAAACCTTATTATTTTCCAAAGACTTCATTAATGGATAAGTAAGATTAACTGAACCCAAAACATCTTTCAACTCCAAAAAACTGTTGTCGATACAAACTCCATTGAACCTGAAAAAAAACTAATAATTTTACAATTTATCACGTAAACTTGAGGTACAATACTTGAAACTCATATTTCTCCTAAAAGTAACCTTTTAATTACTAAATCGAGAGGAATATTTTAGTGTAAAAAGTTTCAAAAGGGAAAACTTGACACTGCAGTTGTCCAATTTTTTATTTTTAGTAATTCTTAATTAAATCTAAATAAAATATTTTAGACCTTCTCTAAATCTTCGTTTTTCCTTTAGATTTAGACGGAAAAAAAGAAAAAATACTGAAAACAGAGACGAAATGTGAGCAGGGTTGTAAGGGATAAATCAAATTAACATTATCAACATAGATATAGAGTATACCCTAATGGGTAACAGTTTTGAGTTTACGGTTACTTGGTTACTTTTCTGGGCCGCTTATTTCCTACTTATTTCCTTCTCGTACCCCAAGTTCTGTTCCGGTGTTTTTGGTATTTTTATTTATTCTCTACCAACCTTTTACTGAGGCAACCTGTTTGTGTGAGGCATGTTATCCGCCCTTACGAATTTGGCGCCTCTCCGCCCTATTTCCTCTTTTCCTAGACTATTTTCAGAATTGTGTGTGACCTTTGTCTTTGGGCTGACCTGAGCCGGCGATTTAAAAAATTCAAGAAAATACGACTCGGGTCTAAGCTGTTGTTGAGCCTTATTTACGGCTCGAGCTTTCGGATTTAAGTTGCTCTAATTTTCAACAGAGTTTAGTTCATAAAACCGGTTTAATTTTGTATTTGGCGGATTTTCATAGTTGGAATTGGCGCATTCCGGGTTTTGATGAGAAGAAGACCCAACATTGAGCCTTATTCTCCACTAAAACCAACCAAGGTCGGTTTTATTTTCATTGGGCTTAACTCCTTAAGTCGAGCCTAAGATCTCGCAGCTGTCAATCACGTGACACAAGCTGTTGTTAGAGTTGGGTCGAAGATTGGGTCTTAAAGTCGGGTTTAAGGAATTACGGCTCGAGTCGAAGTTTTTAAATCGCGGGCTCTGGTTCTACTTCAATCTTATTCTTACTCCTACTCCTTCAGTGCTCGAACAGTTTATCTCGTGTTCAAAAGTGTTTAGGCTTTTTAAAGGCTTTACAAGATGCAAGATGCAAGTTCTATTTTAAAATGCCGTTCTAGACAAGTCTGCTTTCATTCCACAAAAATAAATTTTAACTCTGATCAAAAATATTGACCAAAAGGATTATGCAAAACGGAAAACGGAAATCGGAAAACGATTGTCTAACTGTTTAGAATAATTGTTTTGTATAGAATGCAATTATGAAATAGGATAGGATTTGAATCTTAAGATTCTTATGAAGCCTAAAAACGGGCCTCAAAACCATTTCCTTCAGTACATAGATATAACCATCTGGGATTAACTGTCTATGTTGAGGAAGGTGGAGATAATGTTTACATATTATCTTAATTCTTTTATTTTTCATCTTAGTATTATTAATACATAGGAAGAGATTTGGATCAATTTGCTTTTAATACTTTTTCTAATTTCAGTCACAATATTAATGGTTTAAGCAACATCATTAGAGGTCGAAACTTATAAATGAGGGATTTAGATGAACTAGCTCCGAATTCTACTTATTTTACTTTTTACTTTGATAAGATCATCCGCAACAAAATCAGAGTAGTTTATGAATTATCACCAAATAGCCATTTTGTGAATACGGTTATATTTTAAAAATCAAAACTAAATTTTTATAGATTTTAAAATGTTTGCCACATTTGTAAACAAAATATTAAAAACAAATCATTATTTTAGTTGTCCTAGTTTTTCTTGAAAAAAAAGAGTAAAAGAAACATCCCTAACAACAAATACCAGAAATAAATGCGAGGAAAAACATACTTTTTTCCCAATTTTCCTCCTTGGAAACTTTCTTATATATTTAGTAGTAGAAAAGTGGGGAGACGTGGTGGGGTGGTGCTTGGGGGGTTATATTAACCCTATATATTTCTATTATTACTGGTAGAAAAGAATAAAAATAACCTGGCACAGAGAGTCTCCCAGGTGTACAGTGTCTCATCATGCATAACCTATAAAAGATATTGGTGACGACCTGTAATAGGTTTTTGGAACATAGGGGTCCAATTTCACACCTATCTCAACATTAAACTACAAACCCAGTCGGACTTCATTTTCGTTGCAAGGGTCATAACTCTTGCAATATGCAGTTTGTTCCTTTTGAGAAAGTCAGAGGCAAGGATCCGTGGATAAAAAAGGCCAGAAAAAAATATTATATCCATAAATTTAATCCTAATATAAATATCCGTTTCTAGCATTCCTTTCTTATTTTTTTTTACGACAAAGTTGTTGACCATAAATCCACGTAATGTCGTCTTTACCAACCCTTCCTCTTAGAGAAGTCCAAACCAAAGCAATAGTTCAGAAATTTCTCTGTACTCCCGACAAAAAGAAAAACATCAATTAGTGAAAAATTAAATCCACTAATAACTTTGCAATCCATAGTAATACCACTTAAACTGGGTTTATATTTTCAGAAGTATTTCCAGTAAGCTATCTAATTAAACATTCAAAAACATTTTTACATCGACATTTATCTTACTATATCTGTATTTTTTTTGTAGGTTTGAAATAATGCCTATTTGCCTAATTATTGGCTACTTTGGGTCCGAGTTAGGGAGCCTAATCAACGAACCAACTAGCCAACCTAACATATAATTATCGACGCCCCGCCTAAGTTTCGACTAAAGTGCAGTTGCAATGTAACATTTTTTTTTTTTTTTTTTTTTAAATTTTTGCCCCATTCTTTTTTGTGGTTGTAACTTTTCGATCGCTGTTCAACATTATTTGTTTTTTATCCTGAACTGACAGTCTGCATTTTTCAAAGTTTGGTTGAGATTTCTTCATACCATATTTTAACTTTTCACATAACCTACAACACAAGATAGGACGGATATTACATATTTTTAAAATATCACAAGTTTTGTCACATTCGAGAAACCGGACTTTCTAACTTAAAACATTTACGTACCAAGATCTACAGGTTAATGTCAGTCTTAATCTTACTTAATAGCACTGTAATAATGATGACTCATGAGTTGAAGAATTAGGATTAAATCAAATCTGTTTAATTGTCTAAAGTCTCATGTTTTACTGATAACCCTGGGTTATATACTGACCTGTATTTTTGCTATAGCTTGAACCAGCCTACTCGCTTCGGTCCAGATCTCTTTATTAAAGATATCATTTCCAACCTTGGGAAGTACTGTCATATCACACACCTAGATATTGTACATTGCTTTATAAAAACGTCTAATTTATCATATATTTGGATTTCTGCAAATTAAATCTTTGTCAGGTTAATGAAGGAAATGAAGTAGAGCCAAAGGGCTTTCCAAACATGTATGAAATACTACTGATCACAAATAAGGAAATAAGGTCCGTAACCAGGATTTTCCCAAAAATGTTCAGAATTTTGGTATAAAAACGAGTTATTTTAGCTTGAATTTTATGTTATGTAGGCTAATTTCTAACTTGTCAACACCACTAGTTTTTAAGCTTGAACTTAATGTTACATTGGAAATTCGATTTTCCCTGAATTTGATGCATTGTATGGTTTGTATGGATAAGGAAAATTTTCATAATTTGGTTTTTAGCGCAAATTTTACAAAACTGGAAGATAGAAAATGTTGATAATTTTGATTTTACTACTCACGTTCACTGATTTTGAAAAATTGAATTGCCTGGACAAACTATTAAAAGTTTGTTTCTGTAAAATAAGAATTGATTTTTTAAAACATATTGTGTACATATATTGACGGCAAAAGAGCAACGAACAAGTTCACTCTGAAAATCTTACCCCAGGACAAATATTGAATTGCCTGGACAAACTATTGAAAGTTTGTTTCTGTAAAATAAAAATTGATTTTTTAAAACATATTCTGTATATATATTGACGGCAAAAGAGCAACAAACAAGTTCACTCTGAAAATCTTACCTCAGGACAAATATTTTTCAAAAAAGGTTTAATTTGCTTGGTCTGAGGGAACAGCTTTAGTAAAGAATTGTTCAAAAATAGCATATACATAATACAGTATTCAGGATGATTAAACCTTTAGAAAACTTTAAATGCTAATATCTCAATTTTTCATGAGAAATTTATACCAAGCAACTTATCTAAAAAAAAGAAGGGGGGAGGTGCAAGTTCGTCTTTGCACCCCCCTGGTTAAGGGCCTGAAGGAAATTGAGGGGGGTCCCTGATGGGCAGAGAAGACATCATGTTGGGTTTACTATAAAGATTTAAGGCATCCTGTAATACATAGATACCTCATCAAACATGGTTATCATAAAATACAGTAATTTTTTGTTTTTACTTAATGTAAATATTTTTAATTTACTAAGATAAGCATTAACAAAACTAAAATTATAAATAAAGGTCTGAACCACCAAATATAATAATAAACATAATATATTTATATATTATGTATAAATGTTAGCTATAGCTGGTCAAACAGCTGGACCGAATTGGCTGACATTTTTTGAGGAATTTAATTTTTTAAATGGATTTTTTTTCAAAATTCGATTTTTTTAATACATTCCTCGGGCAACGCCAGACACTTCAGGAAGTGTTCTATAGTTTAGAAATGTAGGTCGATATTTAAAATACCGATGAGAGGATATTTTAATCTATGACCTGAGGTAGAACTGTCTCAGCACCTCTAACATATCTAAAATGTTAAATATTGACAAGATCAAATATCTAAATTTTTAGGACTAAGTTTTAATTCCGTATTCCAAATAATTCTATTAGAAGAGATTCTGCAAATGAGAAAAAAAACTAATTAATGCCCCGGTAACCAGACAAATGTGAAGTAATATTTTTTTTCTTCTATAAACTGTTCTGACTGTTTTTTTTCTATAAACCGCTGAACAAAATTTTGCAGGAAAAAAAATGTCAACTTTTATTATTTTTCAAATGCAGCATTGTCAATAAAAAAAATCTGCGAAAATTTGAAAAAGATTAAAATGGCGACTTTCAATGTTCAAAGCTAAATTTTGCATTCATTTTATTCTTAAATTTTTCTAGAATTCTTGTTAATGCGTCGCGCCCTAAAACTTAAAAGCTTAGTGCTATTTCTTTATAGTTAAGAAATACCGCAAGTATTTTCAAATTTGTAACTGATATTTCTGATGATGTCTAAAAATATTTAGTATTGTGAATCTCGGGATTAACCATTTATCTCAATCTTATGAAGATATGCGGATTAATTTAACTCCTGTTCGATATACAATGACCCTGCAGAAAGACTAATTCGCAAACCAAAGTATTTAAAATTAGACATATATTTGAAGATAAATATACTACGCAAATTAAAAAACCTTAGCGATTGAAATCAAATAAAAAAGAGAAAAGGAAGACGACAATCATTTCGCTGTTTTTCTGTAACCACCGTGTGTAAAATATGTAAAAATTGTTTTATAAACGAAGTCAGAGATATCAGTATGTAACCTTTATGTAAAAAATTCTCAAAATTTAATAAGTTCAGAACAAGTTTTCTAAAGATGTGAAAAATTCTCAATCAATTGTAAAATCAGGAGAAGATAGAAAACAAAGACGTGACAATGAAACCAATTAGACTCTAGCTCCTCTACTAGACCTAATACAGGAAATACAGGAGAAAATACACAACTATACTTCTAACACAGATTTTTGAATAACTAAATCAATTTTTCCGACATGCTTTTAAAAAAATAAAATTTTTAAAAATTAGCTTGTCTATAAAAATCAGGATCTTAGCCTCGACTTTTTTAGAAGGGGATGGCGTAGCCGGTCAAAATTTTAAGATTATAAGTTGTGAAACCTTAGATGCCAGTTTCCAGGGGGGGGGGATATCTTCTTCATTCTCAAATGACGAAATTGGTTCTGACTAATTTCATAAATTCTGTCTTCTATAGTTTAATTTGATTTATTTTAAGTTTTAAGAGTTTAAATTTTAAATTAAAAATTCCCCAAAATCAGAGAAGTGTGATAATTTTTTTCCTTCGAATTTCCAACCACGCTGGTCTCATGAAAAGTTTCAGTCACTCTTTTTAAAAATTCAACAATAGCTTAGAAAATTCTTAAAAATCTCCCAAACTCTTTAAAGATTTCGTTATTTTGTAGGTTTGTTATAGGACTACAGAATTCATTGATTTAATCTTTCAACAAAAAAATTTCACCAAAAAATCATAAAAACCAAGATGTTTTTAATTGTAAAAATATTAACAACTAAGTATTGTAAGTAAGAGAGTGAGTAAGGGAGTAAGTAAGAAAGCAAGGGAGTGAGTAAGTGTGTAAGTAAGAAAGCAAGGGAGTGAGTAAGTGTGTAAGCAAGTAAGGAAGTAATTTATCTACTAATTAAAAACACACAACATGAATTTTTTCTCTATTTCGGTATTTTTCAAAACAGTAGTAAATTATAAGGAACATTTATGTAAGAAAAAAATTGGAAAAACATTAATATTTTTGAACCAAGACGGATATTTTCATACCCATCATGAATTATTTGGACGACATTTTTTACCAGGCGTACATTAATGATTTGATTTACACAAAAAAATCTATATATGAGTTTTAAAAAAATCTATATTTGAGTTTAAAAAAAATCTATATACGAGTTTTTCAAAAATCTATATACGAGTTTTAAAAAAAATTCTAAAATCTTTTTCTAAAATGTACCAAAGAAAGTTTTAAACTGGTTCGAGGTGGATTTGAGCATTTTCATCTAAAAAGAGCCAAATAGTTTCACCCTTAATATATGGAGGAAATATCCAAAAACCTCTAAACATTGAGGTTGTGGGGATATTTCACCCCAAATTTAAAACCTTGAAGGGGGTGTTCGCGAAAAATGAAAGGGAGTATAGGCTTAATGCGATAAAAAAGCGCTTTTGATCGCTACTAATCTTACTTCTATCTGTTGCGTCTATAAGGAGAAAATTGTCAAAAACGACTAATACCGAAGAACGTGGTGTCCATACAAATTCAGAAAGATGCAACATACGGCTTAGACCGTAAAAAATCTATTTAATTTCAAACAAATCATTCAGATATTACAACCTATAGTCATCGATTATCTTTCGCCACATTTGTATAAAGTTGATTTTTCATAATATGTTTTGATTTTATTTTTTAAAATAATATTTAGCTTACAACTTGTTTTCTAACATTCCTGGAAAATATTAAAATGTCGTCTTCATTACCAAAAATCCTCGAAACAGGAATAAATGTTTTCAGATCATAACTCTCAGATCATAACAATTAAAACATATTATGAAAAATCAACTATATACAAATGTGGCGAAAGATAATCGATGACTATAGGTTGTAATATCTGAATGATTTGTTTGAAATTAAAAAGATTTTTTTACGGTCTAAGTCGTATGTTGCATCTTTCTGAATTTGTATGGACACTACGTTCTTCGGTATTTGTCGTTTTTAACAATTTTCTCCTTATAGACGCAACAGATAGAAGTAAGATTAGTAGCAATCAAAAGCGCTTTTTTATCGCAATAAGCTTATACCCCCTTTATTTTTCGCGAACACTCCCTTTAATCTGATCTAAACGTGAAGAATAGCGTCCATTTTCTGAATCAAAAGATTTCAATTATGATAATTTCTTCAGTCTATCTTAAGAGCAAGAAATGATCAAGTCTTCAAAAACAAAAAAAACATGGAGTTGATCTATTTCATGGTTTTCAGGGTACCGATATACATGGCATTGCCATTTTTGTCACTTGAAATTACGCGTACAGTCCCTTATTTATTTACCTCGTACTCCAGCTGCTGAAGCCCTGTTCCAAATATGATTGTGATGAGGAATGATACAAGGATGAAAACCCCAGGAGATCTAGCAACAGCCGCTCCTAGTAGACCCAGATACTTGGACAGGATTAGATCCCACCGACAAAACGCGTTTAATCTTAAACAGGGATAAGGGATTATTTTACATTAGTCAATTTGCAGCACTTAAGATCTCATACCATTTTTTCATCTTTACACTGATAATTGCAATTCTATTACAAAGAATATTTCTAGTAAAAGAAACGAAATTAGCTTCAATTTTTTAGACTTAAAGAGACTGTAAAGGAAAAATAAAAGGGGGTAAAGAATGGAACTTGAGAATCTCGGGCGTTGAACGATACATATAAGACATCTATCTGATGTTCCTGTCTTGAGAAATTGATAAAAAGCTGGCTCAAATTTAAACGAAAATTCATATGTATGCAATTTTGTATAAAAGTTGTAGTATCAAACAGATCATATTCAACAAATAAGCAATCAATCTGAAAAAGACGATATTCCACAGGAGCCTGAGAATCTCAGCTTTGCTCCTATTATATTTTTTTATCTTGCATTTTTACTAGATATAATTGATAATATTATTACATATAGTCCGTATAGTCCGTATTACGTCACCAGAACTTCTACCAATGGCAGTGCAGTATACTGGTCACTTGATTTCCGTCTGTATCACGTATTTGTTAAATATTAATCTGCTTAATACTACAACTTTTCTACAAAATTCCATATATATGAATTTTAGTTTAAATTTTACACAGTTTTATATCAATTTCTCGAGACATTAGATCAAATAATAACTATGTATCGTTTAACGCCTGAGATTCCCAGGTTATATCCTATACCCCCTTTCATTTTTCCTTTACAGTCCCTTTAAGAAGTAATCTCTGCATTGTTCGTCCGCTTACAACTCATCAACCTCTTTAACGATGTGCCTCAAACCGAAACCCAAATTGGTTAAAAAATTCTTGGTTTGTATACTTATATAGAAAAAAAATTGTCTTTTGGGAAAGGTCGGTTCCCAGAGTAGTAAGCAGGCTCCACTAAACCGTGAGGGAAGGTAAAATTTCAGCCACATGACTGGTAGGACTTTGTGAGATCGGAGCTTCTTTAGTTTTGATTTTATGCACAGGTATGAGAAAACCAAATTAATTTAATTAAATTTTATGTGCAATTTCACAATGTTTACATGTAAAAACTATGTTAGCTAGCAGATGTGTGTCTTTCTATGAGGCTATTGAAGCAAGTTCTAAGCTTTGCATTAGATTTCTTTCTCATTTATGCAAAAATGACCTTAACACAGTTTTGGGCAGAAATTTATTTTCCATTGCAAATGATTGTTCTACGTAAATCTTTCTGATCTCTGTAAAATGTTAGTTAAGAAACAAATGAAATATTTTATGTCCCATTGGACCATGCATGGAAAGTTCCGGTTTTACAAGAACTTTTAAATGCAAGAACGAATAATATTTAATATTTATGTTGAAGGATTCGATGATTACGTAATAACTAAAATGATAAATATATTATGTAATAAGTAATGATCAAAGTTGCCTATTTTGCATATTTTTCTTTTTTCTTTGTTAAACTATATATTCAAAACTTTTATTTAAACAAATTTAAACAACACCATTTATATATGTATTTATATCTTTGTGTGTGAATAAATGTTTATTCTAATAATTTACATTAGTTTGATGTGAAGATATATATCTGGGTAAAATCTTGCGAAATTTTGGCGCTCAGTTTCGTTGATTGCGCGTCATTCTGATTTTCTAGGAAATTTCTAGTAATTCCTTCCTTGAAAATAAACTCACCTTGAAATCCAGATGTACATATTGATCCTGTTATCTCTGCAGAAAAAATGCCTAAAAATTGTAAATTGGAAAAAACTGACTTTTGTTCATAACCTTATTCCTTCAAGGACCCCCTAGTGTTGTTTTAACTCAAAAAGAATTGGT